TTCCAGGAATGAGTTAGGGAGACTTGCTTCCCTTTCAGTTTCATTTAAGAGTTTGAGGAGTACTGGCATTAGGTCTTCCCTAAATTTCTTATAGAATTCAGTGGTGAATCCATCAGGACCTGGGCTTTTCTTTGTTGGTAAGCTTCTAATCACATTTTCAATTTCATTAACTGAAATTGGGTTATTCGGCAGTTTTGCATCTTCTTGATCCAGCTGTGGTACTTCATATGTTTTTAGGAATCTGTCTGTGTCTTCCATGTTATTGAACCTATGAAAGTAAAGAATTTCAAAGTAGATATTGATGATCCTCTGTATTTCCACAGGGTCTGTAATGATTTCACCCTTTTCATTTCTTATTTCATGGATTTGAGTTTTTTCTTTCCTCTATTTTAAATTGTCTCTTTATGTCATTTGTGTTGACCCCTGCTCATTCATTGACACCTATCATTCTTATATTGTTTGTCTTAGCATCATCTTGCAGCTATTGAATTGTTGTTTCCTGGCTCTTGGTTAATTGTTAAGAGAACTTTTCTTTCATGATCATTAGCTTCCATCCTGTCTTCAAGGTTTGAGAGTTTATCTTCAGCTTCATTCGGTGGTTTTGCCAGCTTTCAATGCTTTTAATATCCTGAATATCTCTTTGAATCTGTTTCATACATTCCAGTCTTACATTGTTCATTCAAGGTTTCCATTATTTTCTTATGTTTCTCTATTCTTTTATATATATCTTTTTTAGATACACTCATTTCTTTCATGTTTGTCATTTCTTTTTTTACCTGAGAGATTATTATCTGATGTCCTCTAGGCTTCATGGAATTTTTTTTTTTTTTTTTTACTTCAGAAAGCTCAGTTGTGTGATTTCCAGTGTTTTCTATATCAGTGGCTAGCTGTGGCCTTCCCCTGAATGTGACACCAGGGCTTTGCACTGGCTCGGTGGAGCTCTAGATGCTTGGTTTTTAAAAGTACTTTTACAAATATGCAGAATGAATTCTTCCTTAGATTGTCCTTTGTATCAGCTTTATAGAAAGAGCTTATAGGCATAAAGTTTACAGACAGGTTGAATTGTTTCTTCCGTACTATAGTAGGGTTTTTTTATAATCTAGCTTGAGAACCAGTGTGTATTTTATAACAGCAGGTCAGAATCAGGGGCTTATAAAACCCATTCATGTACCATAACCAGCATTATAGAACAACATACTAACAAATGGAATAGAATAAAATGGAAAGTATCAAGTGCATCACATGTGTTACTAGTAAGTGTTATTTTGTGAAATGTTCAGGTTTTATTCACAAATACTCTTTATCTTAGTTATATTCTCCTACTGGAAGAAAATATGCACACCTACAAGTTAAAGAAGGAAAGATTTGTTTTAGCTCACAGTTTGCAAAAGTTTCAGTTACAGTTGGTTGGCTTCAAGGCAGGACAGCATGGCAGACAGGCGTGCCAGAGAAAAACGTGTCAGGGGCAGGGCAGGCAGCCAGAAGCATGGTGGAGGCAGCAGCAGCAGGCGTCCCTCTCCCTTTGCAGTCTATCCAGGCCACCAGCCTATTGGTTGGGACTTATGTCTTTAATAAATTCATTCAACCACACCCAGAACTGTGCTAAACTAATGAGTGGGCTAATCCAGTATCACACCTGTGACCCAGCCACCTTCCAAGAGCTCCACCTGTGAGTGGGTGAGATGTTGGGGGACACATAGATACAAGCTGTAACATCACCATATGCAACACACACGTAGAGTTATAGTGTTTTTCTGGTTTTCTGAGTTTAGAGTCTAGTTAAGTTACTGAAAAACCAAATCCTTAAGGAAAAGCTCTATCTCTTAAGGGCAGAGACAGAAGTGGGGACTCCAAAGTGGAACCTTTGCATTTTTTAATCCAGGCACTTGTTTTCCATTTCATGATCTGCTTAGTGGAAGATTAGATATTTGGAGAAAAGCAGTTGAATGGCTATTTTCTTTTTCAATCATAGTTACCTGCATATGTGAGTTTAGGTAGTAACTTGTACGTGAGGTGCCAGTTAGCTCCTTAGTTAGAGCTGGGGACAGAGGAGTCCATCAGAATAGGATGGTTGCCAGTTTACCTGGAAGAAGCCACAGTGGGCAGTGTTATTGAAAAGACAGCCACATTCTGTCTGTCTTCTGAGACTGCGGAAGGCAGATGTGTCTGATACGTGTTTTCTTCTCTGTGTGTTTCTTATCTCAGGCATGATCATGGGCAAACCTTGACCTCCCATTTTATTTATTTTTAAAATTTATACATTATATACTGAAGGAAATGTTTAATCTTGTCACCCTTGAATATTTTCTTAATATTTAAAAGTTGGTACCTAAGCAGATAAGTGTTCTTTTCTACTGTGATATGATGGGTAATTTTCCTTTTTGGGGGTTATAGCTTCATATGGGAAAAACTCATGAACATACTGATAAATGTTATGAAAGTCCTATGTATATTTAGTTCATGTGAATAATGGAAGACGTATGCACGGAAGAATATGAAATAATCACTCATAAAAGTTTTACAGCTACATTTTGTCTTTTTTTGTGTGTATGTGAAGTTAGTTTTCTAGAGACCAGGCCGCCTTCTTCATTCTTATTCTGCCAGAAGTTGGTAAAAGAAAAGAAAGCATTTTTACTAGGTACTGTTAACACATGATCCTCACTGAGGCCTGTTCCCAGGGTTGGTAGGTTGAAGCCACCATGGCTGACTCAGCCTGAAGGTGTGTGGCCCTGGGAGCATTCCCTTGTGGGCACAAGACTTTACAGGAGAAAGGCTGTTTATGGTGCATGTTCAGACTTGCAGTTTTCCTTTGGTATAGTTGATAAGAGCATTTTTTCCTTCTTTCTCTGTGGTATTTCCTTGTATCATCTTAAATCACTCCTTTTTCCTTTTAGTCACATTTCATCGTGTGATCTGATGTCTGGGTTATTTTACCCTCCGCACTGGGTGTTTACATGGTGAACCGTGCTAGACTGAGCCAGCCAAGTATGGAATCACTGTTTTTGAATCAGGAATTGGATTCAAACTCTTTATTCTCTTTCTCAGTTTGTAGAACACTTCCTCTCACAGGAGAAACTCTCCAAAGGCATCTTTGTTGTCATTTATGTGGTATAGCAAACTTTTTTTGAATGCCTGCCTATAAACAAGGCCCTATGTTTGGCTCTGGGAATATATGTGTGAATTTTAAAGTAGTTGTGGCTTCCAGAAAGTCTTTCATGATTGAGAAAGAACTTGTAAACTGTTTTAGACCCTTCAGCCCTATCAGCTTCCAAAGAGACCAGTGACTGTAGAAAGCAGCTGTTGCCCTTGAGGCTAGAGGAGCAGAGTAGGTGCTGTTCACTGGGCCCTTCCTGCAGATACCATTGACCTTGCTGCCACAAAATCAGTGCTGCAGTGGAGCCAGGTGCTAGGGTCTCTGCCTGAGCCTGTGGCTGCCGTCAACTGTTTCTGCTGCAAAGACCACCAGGACCAGAAGCAGTCGACCTCCTCAAGTATTGTGCTCATCATTGTGAGATGAATCCAGGATGCAGAAGGCCAAGAAAGCTGGAATAAATTGTTTTAAAGTTTTTGGCCTCCTGTGATACTGAGGGAAGCACAGATAGATTGGGATAGGCTGGAGTACCACAAGAAAATCCCTGCATTCTCATTCATATTCTCTCTCTGTGTCTCCCTCTCTTCTTTTCCTCCACCCTCTTGTTGCCTTAAGGAAACTTGTCTTTTTGTTTTGTTTTGTGGGGCTGAGAGTGGAACCCAGGGCTTCATGCCTGCTAAGCCAGCACTGTACCACTGAGCTCCATTCCCAGCCCAGGAAGCTTGGAGAGACTGGAAACATTTATGGAATGGATGGCTTTTTAAAAATGAGGATTTCATCTTCTTGTCAGCTGTTATGGCTTGTGTCTGGATATCCCCTAAAAGCCTCATGTAGTCATTAAAGGGGCTTTTCAGAGGTGGCTGGATGTCTTGGCCCATGGGTGAGTCAACATAGACGCTAGAGGGGGAGAATGAGAAGAGACAAGCGATGCGAAGAATGGAGACAAGACAGTGCTCTGATCAAGTCTCGTTTATTCAAAGAAAGAGCAATGAATATATAGGTATTGGGGGAGGAGGGAGTTGGTTTCTGAGAGGTCAGCAGGCAACTTAGTAACAGTGGCAAGACCGGGGGTTATAGGGTAATTCAAATCTCCCACATATAGGCTCATAAGGTGGGCTGATTTACATAATCCCTGAATGGGCCAAACCACAGGGAGTGTGACTTAAGGAGAAGCAGGATAGGCAAGGAGAGAAGCTTAACTACCAAATGGAAACTTAACTCCTAGAGGATATTAAGGTGGCTGCTGCCTGTTGATAAAAGGTGGCAGCCAATTACAGGACCTCCCCAGCTGGATCTAAAGTGTACAATGCTGGGACTGATTCATGGTGTAGCTGTAGGATTAAGGGCACTAGGATTACTGGTACAGGCTTGTCTCTTGCTTACTGTTGCTGACTTCTGCCTGCCATGCTCTTCTGTCATGCCACCCTGCTTGAAGCCAGCCAGTTATGGACTAGAACCTCTACAGACTGTGAGCTAAATAAACCTTTCTTCCTTTAACCTTGGGGTGTCAGGTATTTTTGTCTCAGCAGAAAAAAAGTAATTAAAGTACAGTCATGACATATATGAATAAGATACATAATATTTCTGAGCCCATTTACCTGTTGGTAGATTTTGTTGCTGATCTCATCAAGGATTTTGAAACTGAAGAACTATACTCCTTTTTCAAATGGCATATTAGAACAAGAACATTGTATAACCTAATTAGGGAGTACTGTAATTGCCTACTAGGTAGCTAAATTGATTTTGATTTCATTTTCTCCAGAGTAACTATTAAATACAAGTCTGCTGCTGTCAATGTCTCTTACCTTTCGTAGCCATGTGGCCCCTGGGCCATAGTCCTCTGTTCAGTTTGACAGGCTGCGTGGAGCTGCTTTAATGCCCTCCTCTGTCTGCTCTGGCTCCCTCCCAGCATGGTCTTCAGCAGAGAAGCCATCAGGAGACTTCTCGCCAGCAAGTGTCAGTGCTACAGCAATGATGCACCTGACGACATGGTCCTGGGCATGTGCTTCAGCGGCCTGGGAATCCCTGTGACACACAGTCCCCTCTTCCATCAGGTGAGACAGTGTTTTTATTTCTGCTTTGGGGGGAAACTTTCTTCTCTCTTGAGTATTCTTAATTCTCTTTTCATATTTTGGAAATGATCTCAAGAACTCTATCAGTGAGCTAGGGCAATATTCTTAACAGGTTGTATGTCTTCATATACATCATTAAGATGGAAGGCAGAAACATCTAGAGCACCAAACGGTGCTGGACCAATGTACTTCTTTTGCAGAGCCAGGGCTAAGCGCTGTCTCCTCTCTGCTTCTCTCCCTTTCTGTCCCTATCACTCCCCTTCTTTCCCTCTCTTCCTCTCCCCTTCTTTCTATCTTTCCCTCCTTTTTCTTTTTTCCTTCTGTCTCTCCTTTTCAGTTAAGCAAATTAATGACATTTAAAGTGCGGACATTTAAATGACATTAATGACATTTAAATGTCATTCATTAAATACCATTTAATGAATGCTGTCTATAAACATAAAGGACTCACCTAATATTGACCTACTTGCTGTGAAGTGTGAGTATTCCTGCACTAACTTCAGTTTTACACTTTTTCTGATTTTTTTAATACCGTGCCTTCTCCTTTTTATTTACTGTTAAACAAAGTAATTGAAATCTATTAAATTGCAATATGGTGTCTGAACATATTTTATAGGTTATTGAAAAGAAGCAAAATAATGTTACCAGGAGTGATTAGTATTTATTGCCTCACTATATGCATTTGGTGTTGAAAAAGAAATCTGTCTATGTTATTTTTGGTAATATTTTAAGAATCTAGTCAGTATGTGTCTTTTTGTTCTAAGAATAACAGCAGATACCTAGAAACTAAAAATAACCTTAGGTCTACCTCCATCACGTGTACTCCTTGAAGAAATTGAAAGCTTGATGAAATTTATATATAAATGCATGCATATTTTAAGTGCCCTTCTTTATACTGAAAATGTGGTCTTCATGCTTCAGGTAGTAACCAGTCACAAATGCTACCACAGTGTTAGAGAAAATTGAGCATGGCGAGAATGCCACACTTATATAAAGCAAGGAAGATATTTGCACTGTCATGGAAGGGAGAATCCATTTGGTGTCCTTGAAACAATAGGGGAGAATAAAAATAGACATCTAATGAAGAGAAATCCATGAGGAACCTGTTTCCTGCTTCCTGGTTCCAGTCCATTCTTGGTCTGGTGAGGTGGTGAGAGGGCTCACCCACCTCAAGGCTGTGTGTTGTGTTATGCTGACTTAGAAAAGCAACATCCTGTTTCTTCTTCTGCTTTATCTCCTGTTCCACTCAGCAAAGCAAGGATAACTAGAACCGCGGTGTCTGAGGGAAGTAATTTATCAAGGTTAGTGTGACAAGTCTTAGATTTTATAGCAACCGTTTCCTCTTGGGAAAGCACATATTAGCAAATAAAATGATAAGAAGACAAGAGAAGGAAAGTAATTTAATGCTTGAGCAAAACTCCTTTGAAGGTAATTCAGGAAATTAAAAAAAATTGTTTACCATTTCCCACACTTTAAAAAACTCTACTTCTAATCACACAGTGAATTTTAGACCTTTCCAAAATCATAAAATATGTTTTAAGACCTGTCCTCTCCAATAGATAGTGCTGTTCCTTCCAATTCTGAATCATTTTGTAGAGAATCTGAAATGATTTGGACAGTACCTTCCTTGTGATGTTTGAACATGGAGCCAATGATGTATTCATATTGACAGAGAAATATGAGATAAAGAGATGATATCTAAACTTCTTGATGGATTAGAGACAGATTGTTTAGAAACAGCCTCCGTGACAACACTACACAGACCACATTCCTTCCTGTTTTGGTCATTCCGTGTTATTGTGAAGTCATAGGTATAGAAGGGGACTCCACAGTGCTCAGTCTACCCATTTCTTAACAGTAAAGTGTCTTGAGCACACGATTTTCTGTTCTTTCAAAATTATATACCATTAGTGAGTATAGCACTGTATAATGATCAGTGAATTCTCTGCATAAATATAATTATTAAAACTGTCAAAATAACCTTGATGAGATTCTAGAAGTCAAATACAATGATACACTGAGAAATATTCCTGCAAATGGCTGTCCTTTTGGATAAGAACAGTGGAGGCTGAAGCCTTCTTGCCCGAAGCTGCTGCCTTTCTTACCCCCTCTCTCTTCAGTTGACTGGAGAAAAGAGTAGTTTTATCAGCGTCAGCCTGGCTGGAATAAACAGAAACTTTGTTGACCGAGGAAATGTACTTGATTTGGAAAACAAAGTGAAAACACACAGATAAGTCAGCTCACATTGTCAGTATTAAAAAGAAAAAACGAAGAACAACCTATTTCCTTACTGATCTGAATTTGCAGTCAGAGAGTGAAGGAGTATAATGCGTCCTAGTTTACCAACGTTTAAGTTGTGAGCTTTCGCAGATAGCAATGAGCCTCACATTAGGAACATTCATAGATCTGTACAAATTGTGGAAGTAGCTCATGTGTCTGTGGACATTGTCACAGCTGTGCCGCTGTGTTGTACTACTGGACAGTGTGATAGTGTACAGTGGTACAGTGCTCAGTCAGAGCCAGGGTGTCCGGAAACAAGAAGAAAAGCAACAGTGACATGGAGGGGCCTGCTAGGAAGTACAAAGCAGTAAAAATGGGAACAAAAGTCAAAATAATGAAAGACTCACTTTGTCAGAGTGATGAGCATCCTCCCAGAAGGGAACTTAGTCGCGAGTTACTGTGAGGACAGATATGTAATGCTTAAAGCCCTGGTAATGACACAGCTACGTAAGCACTCCATAATTTCTGGCCATTATAAAACTGTGCACGTGGGACACTGGAGTGAGTACAGCAGAAAGTAAAGCTAAGGCATCTTTGAAAACTTGCTGAAACTTTGGGGATGCTCTTCATGGGTAGAGGCTGTGTAGGCTTGAGATTTTTAAGCATAACTTCCTCCTATGTCATAGCCTAGCCAGTAAGCTATCCAGGTGCAGAGATAACTTGCAGCAAGTCAGGCCAAACATTAAAACTAAAAACTAAAAACTAATCATCAGATTCCACAGTGTAATTCCAAACAGTTTACTTAAAGTAATAAAAATCGATCATGTTTGTGTTGATGCATTATCCCAAATTAGCAGTTTCTAGTAAGTAATCATAAGATATACAAAGAATTATTTTCAAGAAAACACGCATGAATGAAAACTAATTTTGAGTCAGATAAGATGCTAAATTTGTTAGATGAAGACTTCAAAGCACCAGGGATCTTCTTCACTACAAGTTTTAGCTGAGACCACAAACAGGGCTGACACCTTCATTGCACCTGGTGAGAGACCAGAGGTCCAGCTAAGCTGTGTCTAAACAGCAAATGCCATGCAATAATAATTGTGTATTAATTTGCTAAGTTTTGGAGTAATGAGTTTTGAAGTAATAGGTAAATACTGCATTGTATTTATGCTCCAGCAGTCCTATCATAGGGTCTATCCAGAAGAAATGAAAAGTATATAGACTTACATGAGAATGATGGCAGCATCACTAATCACAATAGTCAGCTGGTGTTTATCAGCTGGTGATTAGGCAAACAATGTGGCCTTTCCATACAGTGCAACATGACTCAGAAATAGGAAGGAATTAACTACTGACACATGCAACAATGCGAAGGTGAAGGAAGTTAGACACAAAGTATTCATACTGTATGGTTCTGCTCAAGACATTTCCAGAAAAGGTTACTGTGGAGGTGAAGGTAACCAGGACCCAGCGGTGTATGCCTGTAATCCCAGCACTGTCGGACACTGAGGCAGAAGGATTACAAATTCAGACCTAGCCTGGGCAGCTTAGTGATTTAGCAGGATCCTGCCTTAATAGAAGGACTAGGAGTGTAGCTCAGTACAAAGACCTTGGAGTTGGTTCCACTGAGAAAGAGACAGAGACAGAGAGGTGAAACTCATCAGTGTTTTCCGGAGCCTGCCAGGAGAAGTTGCAATTGCATGAAAGGAATTGGGAGTGGTGGTTTTAATGTTCTAAAACTAGTTTTATGGTTACCCCCAAGCCCAGTATTTTAGAAATTTCCTAACAATTTTAGAGTATCATCACTGTGGTGAACTGTGTAGTATGTAAATCATTCTTCAATTCAGCTGTAAAAGAAAAAATTCATGTCTAAGGAAGAACAGTTTTAGTTCCCATTTGTTGTTCTGTTTGGGGTGCTCTGAAGAGAAGTAAAAAGAAAGTTCTAATGTTGGCCTCCTTGTGACCTTGTCCGATCACAGGATGGGCCAGTGGTAGCCTGGGCTCTTGTGCACGAGGAGGAAAGAATTGCCAAGTGCACACCCAGTAGTGTGTAGCAAACAACTGCATTTATTGATGATCGCAGGAAGAGGTGCTCCAAGCAAGTCTGTGCCCACAAAAGATAGGACACAATCAGAGAAGTGCCAGGTGACTAAACGTAGTGCACACAGGCGGAACACACAAAAGTAGCAAAGCAACAGAGTAACAAAACACAAAATAAAGGAGGCCTTTGGAATTTAGTAGGTTTAGGTGCCTCCCCTAAATCTCTGGTTGTGATTGACGGGAATGATTGGCAGGGTTCTGAGTCATCTTGGGGTCTCTCAAGATGCGTGCTTGTCCCAGAATCCACTCTGAGCTTAATTATGTGTATGATACACGGGACGCATTGAGGTGAGAGGAGGGTAAAGGTGACCAAAGGATCAGGCTAGGAGAGCCAACACCCATGTGCTCGCCCACAGAGCATCAGAGATCTCCTGGGGTTTTGTTATCTTATTTTCTACCCCTCTTAGGACAACGGAAGCAAGACTAGCTGTGGTACTGTTCAGAATTGAATGGAGGGAGGGGAGTGGCTCCCTGGGACACATTGCTTCTCACTGAACTGTGGGTGCAGGTTAAGCCATCGCTTTTTGTGATACACAGCTGGCCCCTGCATTTCCACAGCAGTTCCTTGAGTTCTTCCCAACCCCTCGCCCTTAGTATTTGGAATTTTCTTTTGGCCTGTGATTATTATAAAGGTGTGATTAGTAGAGGCTGCGTAAACTTCTTGGTTATACAGACGCTTCCGTGGATTGAGTTCACTTTTTCTAGGCTTGCCTTTTCCATGACCTCCCATGTGGAAATGTCCAGTGTTCTCAGGCTTGACAAGGGAGTTCTTCACACGCATACATGGGCAGCTGAGACACAGTGAGTCACACTTGGAATTTGCAGTAACAGAGGGAAAAGGTTAGGAAGTTCTTTCCCCATTACATGTATTTGTATCTCTAGCATTTCATTTTCATAACGTGAAAAACAAACAAGGTTTGTTTCCATGGCTTTTACTGCTTTCTTCTGGGACCACTGTGGAACTATTGGAGAACGAAGTTGGCACTGTTTCTCCCTGGTACCCTTTTCTGCCGGTAAACTCTCAGAGGACCTTGCGAATAAACATTATATAATATGTAAGTTCCCTCGCTTAATATTCAAAGCTTTCCCAATTCAATTAGACTATATTCTATGTGTGTTCTTTATCTTGCTGTTTTTCCCTTTAAAATTCCCTTCTTAGGAGCACCTGGAATTTTTAAAAGACAATAAGGTAGCAGTTGTGCGAGCTCTCCCTCTGTGCGACTCTGAACTTTTCCCCACAGATATGATTGTTTGCACACTCATTCTAGCAGTGTATTTGTGTTTCCCAGTGAGGTGAGGCTGACAGACTTCACTGAGTATTTGAGCACAGACAGCAGACCCTGGAGACCTGGTCCCAGCAGACCAGGGCCCTGGTGGGACCCTGCAGGGGAACTGGACACCTCCCTGCCTGGTTTCGATGTGTGCGGCTTGTATTACATCTCAGAGCTCTAGTTTCCTCGGCCCAATAATATTCTGTCCATCTTGCACAATTGTTTCAAGGATTAAATAAGATAAAATTTGATAAGGTATTCCAGGTATCATTTGTGATAGTGTAAGCATTCATATAAAAAACGGAAGCAGACTATAATAAAATAGTACTCTAGAGGAGACTTATTTTTGAAATGTAATATATCTTGTTTTAATTGTCCAGGTAATTTTAGTATTGATAATCAAAGAGTTACTGTATAAAACAGATGGACATATAAATTTATGAGCAAATTAAGAGCAGTGAGAGAAGTTGGGTGCTTTGCTTCGAGCAAACAAAATTATATCTGGTTTCAGTTTTCCTTCTAATGCTGTCCTTTGCATTTTTAATCTCAGAATTCCAGGCTCTATTTACTTATGATTATGTTGCATTTTCTAAGGTCTAGAGAATTTTGAAATGATGATAATACAAAAATCTCTTTAAATGATCTTGTTAGCTGGTTTGGGTTATTCACATTGCTGGAACCAGAACTGCTTTACCTTTCTCCCGGCTGTTTTGTTTTGTGTTGTGTTGTTTTGAAAGCGTCCCCTCATTATAGTAGAGCAGCAGTTAGGCAGCCTGACCCCGAGAACTCCAGGCTTCTGTCTCCCACGTAAAATGTGTGTGACAGTTTCTTCAGAGGGACCAGGGAAATACTTTCTCTGCCTTTTTTACAGAAGTCACAGTACTAATTTAATGACCCACCAAATGAAAGTTTTTGCATTAATGACCTTGCTTGAGGAATCTCTCAGGAGCAGGATCCTGAAGCACAGAGACAAAAAGCAAGGTATTTGGCATATTTCAAGGAATTGGAGACCCGCCAGCATGGAACCTAGTTTAGAGGAAAAGTAGAAGAAACTTCCCTTCTTGTTTTTTAGATTCCCATAACCCATGCCAGATCCTAAGGCAGAACAGTCACCTTATCATTTCAGGTTATTCCAGAGCAATCACTTTTGATCAGCCAGAATGCATAATTCTCTGTTCTTCCTGTAGGCCCGGCCCGTGGATTACCCGAAGGACTACCTTTCCCATCAAGTTCCCATATCATTCCACAAGCACTGGAACATTGACCCGGTGAAGGTATATTTCACGTGGCTGGCACCCAGGGCGGAAGACAGAGCTGCACAGCATGCACAGGAAGGCCCTCGGGAAGAGCTGTAAGGGGGCCGCGGGCAGCTGGGAGACGGCGCTGCGTGGAGCCCCGGCCTTGGCTCTGCCTTTGGATTCCACGGGGTGTCAGATGCTTCCTGACCTCACGTGAAACTAATATAAATGGCACTTTTTGATGTGGAAAGAAAAGGAGTCATAGAGTAAAATAATTTTTTTCTGGGAAAAGTCTCTTGCTTTTGACTTACACAGGTTTTGTGATTCAGTGATGACTGTGCATTTCTCAAGCTGTGTGGTGCAGCAGTGTATTACTGTCCCAGGAAAATGAATGGGACCAGAAGTCCCTTTCCTCTTCTCTCTCTCCATTATACTGAGTTTCATTTGGACATAAACTGGAGATGTGACTATTATCCCTAGGTAAAGAAGAGTGAATATCTTTTGTCATGGATTTTGGCACGGTATCAACTTTTAAGCCATATTATTAATGATGAAATTTGGTTCCTGGGAACCCAGGAGGAAGGATGTTGTGCTGAGAATCATTCACAAAACATCATGAAAGTCTATGAAATCCCCTGTAGTCTACATAGTCATGGTTGTTGCACTTTATCTGTTCTTTGGTTGTTTGTGCCTCCTAAAAGGAGAGCAGGTTTGCGGCTGGAGCTTCCTGTATGTTTAGAAGTTCATCTGGATACTGTTTCTCTTGAAGCCCCACCTTCTGGCTACTGGCAAGGAAGGGTACTGGGTGCTGCCGGAAAGCTGTGTCCTTGGTCTTAAAAACAATGTTACGCTTCGATGGACTCCGCAAGCTCCATGCGAGTCTCAGGAAGTGAGTTGTGTTTCAATATGGTGTATGACTTTTGTCATTCTTTGAATGTTACAAATCACTCTTTGGCTCAGACTGGACATCCCAACCCTAGTGATGAAATCCTCATAGAAGGACAGCATGGTGATCTTGCAGTTTCTCTGGCTTTTAAAAGAAGGACACTTAACACAGTATTCTGAAATAGCCCTAATTTTCAAATCGTATCTTTAATGTATAGTAATTTAACACATTTTAGTATTAATGTATAAAAATTATTCTGTATTTTAATGTTTTAATTATGTAATTCAGTTTTGTAAACGCATTTGCATAAGATTTGATTTTCATATATTGCAAACAAATTTTAGTATAGTAAAATATTTTCTTCTTTTCCTTTTCTAAAAACAAGAACCACTTGCTGTTCATTAACTTTGTTTATAATGCTTTTTGTAGCAAAGCACAGGGTACTAAGCCATACCGCCAAAAGTACATTATATATGTATGTCATTTGTCACCAATACATTTTCCGTGTAGCTTAGACCTGACTCATGCAAAACGATGCAACAGTGTTTTTCCATATTATCAAGTACTGGGGTGAGTATGTTTCAGTCCTGGTACAACGTGTGCTACTACAGTCTTATGACGGCATGCACTGGATTCAGCCTGTGAAAATGGATTGTGAGATTCATCTTAGGAATGGGCCAAGGGCTGTCAGCTGGATGAGAAACGTCAGAAGGATTTCTAAACCCCACAAAGCTGCTCTGATGGTGTCAGCATCGTTGCCATCACAGCTGGGACTGTCATTGTTGGTAGCATTGTAGTCATTTTCCTATCCCCTGCTCCCAGAGGGCCCTGGCTGTGTATACCAGTAGAGGAGTCTTCAGTTCTTCCTGCCCCTGCTACTGATTGTTCCCGCTCACAGACATTTGATGTGATTGAACCCCCAGCGTGTCAAGCTTTCTTCTGTGTAACGATCAGTGCCTTCTATTACTACTAGTGAGCCTCTTCTGGTATCTGTTGGTGTTTTGTTAATTGGGTTTACTTGTTGGAACTGTGTAATTCTAACCATGAATAAAACATCTTTTCCTAAGTTTCTGGATTCTCAAATGTTATACTTGTTAGTCCAGACTGGCCTGAGGGTGGGGACGGGAATGAAGGAAAGGAATGAATAAAATCAGGGGAAAAGTTTGCAACAGTTATTACAGTTTTAAGCGAAAAAGATTAATAAAAAGTTATACTTTTTTAGAGAAAGCTGGAAATAGTCTATAAAGTCATTAATTTCTATAAAACATCAGAGGTGCTATTTGAGAGCTGATTCCCACAGTTCGTATCTAAAGAACTCAATTTTAAGTCTGAACTTTCCAGGTCAGAATACTGGCCTCCTCGCATTTCCTTTGCTTCTTAAATAGGGATTTCTGTCCAAATGGCTATTTTAATCCTAGAGATAGCATTAAGGATTTATTTGTAGAATAACTGAAAGGTCATTTTTACTTTTAAGCCGTTTCTGGTGCAGTAGCCAAAGCAAGTTAGCTAGATAGGATTTTTACATCCTGAAGCTAAATCAGAAATCTAGACCCAAAACTAACCTTTATAGAAGTCTTGGGAACATAAAATAATAGCATGCCCAGTGATGGGTGGTGCTGAGCATGGCATGTAAACATCAGTGCTCTCTGCATTTTCTGATTTATGGGAAACACTTCGTGCTTCCATATCCATATCTACTGTAATTGCTTCAGAAATTAACAACATAGTTGGCATTTATAATTGTGCTTCTTTTGTCTTCCATTTGTAATCAGATTTCATTTTTGTGCAATAAAATGAAATCAATCAACAGATTCAGCAAGTGGCTAGCAAACATGCTATGTGCTGGACATTCCAGGATGCCCTTTGTCCATCCCATTCTTCACTCTATCCCTGATATCTTTGAATGCTATTATTTTATGTCTAGTATATTATAAATGTCGTCTCTCTTCCTATCTATTAGAATAAAGTGAAGACTTGCTATCTGTTGCCAATTCAGCTTATATTTTTACTTTAAAGACTGATGATTACAGAGGGGGTAGAGCTAGGTGAAAGAGAAGGAACACTTGTGAACACGGGGTTCCTGGTAATAATCACCCTACAAGGAGGCTGAGAACAGAGTGTTACAATGTTGGGAGTTGGGCAGGCTTGGGGACCGCTTTGGAGGGAGTGGTTTGAGTGGTGTCTCAGGGTGATGGAAGAGAGTCTGAGGGACTAAAGGAATCAGGAGGAGGGTTTGGTAGACAGGCAGAACAGCCATGGTGAAGGCTTCATCTCGGGATCGGGTGGGTTTGGATGTCTGGGGATAGAACACCTGGGTGGTCACTGCTCAGCTGTCATTGTCGTGGGATATCCAGGTGATGTCCTACAAGCAGCTGGATGTGGGAGTTGGAACTCAGAGACATTTTGGAAAGCATCATTTTAAAGGTTTGGAAAGCTACAAGACTAGACATGCTGAGCTGAGCAGAAGGTGTAAAGAAATAGGAACAAGCTGCCCAAGATAATGCATCAGTGAGGTGTGAGAGGCACCAGAGATGTCATGTAAAGGAGAGGGCTTTGAGAAGTAAATGATCCACAGAGAAGACACTGTGATTCCTCGGCCTGGAACCTGCAAGGCCACTCACCGGGAGTGGGTAGCAAAATCTCTGCCTTAGCTATAGTTAATTCTATTTCACCTTTAAAATTATGCTTTACTTTTAAATACAGTGAAAGGGGCAGAGAGTTTGTGTTTTCCCCATGGAAGAGTCTGTGAATACCTGTGTGTGGTGAGACTGAAGAGGCAGAAAGCGAGGAGGCTTGCCTTGTTAGTGTGCGTGAAGTAGGCGGGGTCAGCAGCTCAGTTCAAGGGTCTGCTCTCCAGGACACTCCACTATGAACTGAGGGAAGAGCATGGGCCCTGATGTTGAAAATTTTTAGATTTTGCTGAAGTGGACGTGTGAGTTTTTGCAACTAACAATTGCTATTAGCTGTGAGACAGTGTTACCTGCTAGAAGTGTTTGTTATCAGTTAGAACGCTTGCTTTTGTGTAGAGCAGTAGCATGAATTATAATAATGACTAGGATGACTTTACAGTGTGCCTAGTAGGACTATTCTAAATGTTTCTCACATAACTTATTTAATCTTCATAATAAGCCTTTGGAGTCAGTATTACTGTTTTTCCAAAATTACATTGCAGGCAGGTGAGACTTGCAGTGGTTCGGCCACCAGCTCAGAGTTACATATCTAGTAAATGGCTGAGCTGACGTTTTCTTTTTTTAAATTATTTTATTTTTATTTGCAGTACATAATGATTAGATTCACTGTAGGGAATGGATATGTGTACATAACACATTTCAATTCTTTTTTCCCTCTTCCCTCCACTCCTCTTGTGTTTTTCCAGCATCGTGTTCATTTTTTAAAAGACCTTATAAAGTTACTTGAACATTCAGATTAAAAACCAGACTCATTGACCAAAGGACATATAAAACATGTTAAACAATGGTACTAAATCAAGGTACACTTTTAGATATTGTCTGCACCAGATTACTTTCACTTTTGTTTTCTTGTTATCTGTTTTTTCCTTCGTACTTTGTATCTAGATCTAGATATAGACTGGGTTTGTCTTAGAAGAGAAGCCATGGTATTCATGCTTGTGGTCTGAGTTGTCTAGACTTGGCTCCGGAGCCTGTGCTTTATATCCCTCTGCTCTGTCACCACTACCAAGAACAACACACAGTTGCCTCCCAGACTGAGTGTGTGTCTAGTGCTAAGCATCAACACGTGTAAGATACCTAAGAATCCAAGAGTCAACCACGCAGTCCCTGTCTAGAGATTACAAAAGAAAACATTATTTATCAAGTGAATTACAGAACTCTTATGTTTTGGAATATTAAAACATGAACTGGTTACATGGGGTTGAGTTTAAACATTCTTTTGAAAAGCCTCTGTCTGGTAAGAGGGAATGTGCTCATGCCCTTGGACTGTCATTTCTGTCGAGCTGTGTATCCTAGTGAACTCTCAGATCCACAATTCAGAAACAAGCACAAGTGTTTACGGGGGCAGCACTGTTCATCAGAGCTGAAAGCTGGAACCAGCCTGTGTGTCCACTGCTTGAAGAATAGACAAAATAATTGTAACATATCTTTATAATATATTCATGTGGTTTATGTCTTTGCAGTTTAGTCATTAATAGAAATTCACTAAATGAGATGTCTCAATGTTAAGTGAGGGAGAAAACACAAGAACAAGACTTATAGTAGGATTTCCATGAGATTATTTAAAATCGTGCAAAATGAAAAAATAGACATACATATCTTTTTTAAAAATCAAAGAAAAAGAATAAACCATGTTTATTAGCACATGTTTTCAATACTTGATGTGTACATTCGTGCTTAGGGGATGGGCGCGTGTATTTAACGTGTGTTAGGTATTTTTCCTCCCCTCCCCCCTCCTTCCCTCCATGGGCCCTCCCTCCACCTCTAGACCCGCTTTCCCTGTGTTTTCCGTTCGTGTTTGCAGTGCATACTGACTGACACATCTCAGTTCTTTTTATGTCCCCCTTCCCTCTCCCTTCTCCTACCCTTCATCTCTTTGTTCCCTTTCCATTTGCAGAAGATCTATCTCTGTTTTCTTTTATCTTTGATTACGCTCTTTATTTATGCTTTAGGACAGTGTTCACTCCAGGAGAAAGGAAGGGGCATAAACTAGGTTCAGAGCTAGACATGATGGGGAGGCCAGTATTTATGGCCATTCCTATTTCTTTTTTCTTTTCTGTACTGGGGATTAAACTCACAATCTCACGCTTTCCAGGCAGGCGCTGTGCCACTGAGCTGTATTCCTGGCGCCCATTCGTGTTTCTTAAGCAGGTTGTGTATACATGAGTGTTTTATAAGCACCCTTTAAAAGCTATTGTGTATATGTGTGTATATACAAGTATTCTATATGTGTGTTTGTGTATATATTGTGACTATTCCTAAAGGTTTATTCAACATTGAATTTTAATGTAATTTGTGTTAATAATGACTTCAATTTTTTGAAAAAGAATTATTCAAGCATCTGATGTGTGTACTGTATGTATTTCCTGTAACTGCTGTAATACTTTATCACAAACATTGAAATTATTCTGTTTTCTGTCTGTGAATTTTGTCCTGTTTCTCATGCAAGCTAATGGTGTTTCTGCAGGTCGAACATTCCCAGAGCCGTGTCAGTCTCTGGTGTACTCCGGGGTCACTCTTGCATCTGTTAAGGGTGCTCACCGAGATGATAAGGGATTTCCCCCCCTGCTCCTTCATTCCTCCCGCACCCTCGGCAGCAGCACCGTTAATGTCTGTTTTTGCCCACAGTCTGGTTAAAGCAGTGTAGGCTTTATCCATCCGACAACTCAGTCTCCAAGCCTTTATCCATCACCCATCCCCAAAGCCACTTCCACACTTTTAGGTATTCATGGCAATGATTCCTCACTTCTCTTCCCAAATTTTTCTTAATGGCTGCTGGAACACACATTGCCACACACTTGGTATTTTAAAACAATCTAAATTTATTTTCTTCAAATCTAGAGGTTAACAAAACAAAACCCACAAAAACCAAAACAAAACAGAACAACCTGAAAACAACATCACTGCACCGAGATCAAGATGCTGGCAGGACAGTGTCCTCTTCAGAGGCCCATGGGGAATCTGTCCCTGCCCTTGCAGCCTCTGGTGCTGCAGCACCCCTTGGTTTGTGGCCACATCACTGCAGTTGCTGTCTCTGGGCACACTGACTTCTGTATGTGTGCAAATCTCAACTCCCTCCCTCTCAGAAGTACATATGATTGCATTTACAGCCCGTCCAGGTAATCCCTCCATCTCTGGACCCTTTCCTTAGCCACTTTTTTAATTTTATTTTTTTGCCATACACTGTTCACAGATTGCAGGGATTGACACATAGATTTTGCACGTGTGGAGGAGGGGTAACACTCAGCCCGCCACAGGGTGCTTTCCCTGAAGCAGTGTTCTCAGGCACCAGCAAGCCAGGGGGTCAGCTGAGGGGTCTCGGGATGATGTGCCCACTCATTCAAGTATTTGCTATTCAAAGTATATTCTTTGAGCA